GACCGAGGGGGGCCGGCTGGATAGAATTAAAGATTATACTTTTTTTTAACTAATCGTGAAAAAAATAGCGAAATCGAACCGTGGAAATTTGAGTTTTTTGTCTTCAAAGATTGTTGACAGAAACGCCATTAAATTAAATCGCGACGGCATAGTGCCTAACGTGAGAGGTCAAAATAAACTGGAAAATAACGCTTACCTTTCAAGATACCGTTCCAATGGGTAGATTCACTGTTGTAAATATAGTATCGCGTGAAATTTCAAAAAAAATGTGCATAACAATATGAAAAAAGTCGATATTTATGAGCCCTATGTAAATTTTTGATGCCAAAAGCTACATGCAAGCATTAGGAAAATGGCGCAATCTGATTGGTCGAGAGATTCGCCCAGATTCGCCTAATTAGCTGTCCAACCTCCTCTGCATGGCGCCATTCTGGGATAACGCTGGTGGGTATGATTGATTCTCGTGCTCGAAAAATTCGTCAAGATTGCCATCATGCACTTGAGATGCTACGTACAGCTTAGAGAAAAGTGAGCGATCATTCTTAAGGGATGTTAATTGTTGGTGAGTCTTGTTTTTCTCTTTTACTTGAGGTCGTCCAAAAAGAGGAAGACTTTTCTTCTTGATTGGATCAGAAACTGGTAAATTTTGATTGACTAGCCGCTCGTTGACGTACGCGCTATACTGTTCCTGTCCCAACTTTTCAATCTGAAACACACTTTCAACAATGGCTTTCTCAGCAATATTCCTGTTGTCAAGTACAAAAAGATCACAGCTATCTTCACAGAACGGATTTCCAAAATGGTCAATAGTGTTAACTAAGCTACATACATGGCGCTTAAATGCCGTCTGCGCATGTTCTGTGTCCTCGTTATGGCGTAAATATGTAGTTTTCTTCTTGTCGGTGGAAATCTCGAACTCTTGGATCAGTCTAGCCATCTCAGGACCGGCACCATCCAGCGATGAAGAGCAGCAGGATTCTCGGTCAGACCCACGGCCCCACCGTCACCCTTTACAAGAGCATTATTTTGCTCGTGTGTTTGTTCAATAGAAATGGAAGAGAATCGACGAGTTGTCTTCTTTACAACTAGGCCTTTCCCGATTGCGCTGAGCACTTTTTGAGCACTTTTTTTTGTTTGGAGCACCATTTTGCATGTTGAGCAACGTTGAGCACTTTTTCGCACTTTGGGCAACATTTGAGCAATATTTCACATTTCGAGCGAATTTTGAGCAACAAAAAGTTAGCGATTATAGAATTCGATTCGTACTTCGATTAACTAAACATACAGTTCGGAGTAAGGTTTAAAAATTGACGGGTATTATACTATTATTTTATATATATAATTTAGGTATAACTCCAAAAGAAAAGCCGTACAGCTGCATATGACATTACAGTTAAAAAATTAGAACGCTGACTTTTTCGAGTTCTCTTTTTTTTGTCGTAAACAACTCCATATACGGAAGTTTGTTCCATATATGGAGAAGGACGTGGAAACAGATTTTAAAAAATGCTGATTTTAAAAAATTTACGAAAATCTTAGAGGTAACTGTTCACAATTTTAGCACTTTTTGAGCACTATTTTGAGATTTTGAGCACTTTTTGAGCACTTTTTAGCCAATTTTGCCAGCACTTTTTTAGGATTTTACCAGCACAATCGGGAAAGGCCTATTTACAACAAACTTTCCATTCACAAACTCAGAGAATGCAGTTAGATGAATATTTCTCAATGCAACCATGTCCCTAATGTGCACGGGTAACCACCTTGCATAATGAATGTGGTCGAGGGCAAAGAACCAGGGAACTATATTTGTAAGAGCATCGATGTAGAGATTGAAATTGCCTTCCCTCAAAGCCCTTACAAATATCAGGATAGCTATTTCAAACTGTAAGACCAGAAACCAGAATTTAATCTGCGGATAATCGGCAGATTTGCTAGAACACCAAGTCGTTAAAAGACATGTGAGGAACATTCTCTTCTAGGTTGCTTGAATACGCCAAATAAGCTTTTTTACGTGTAACATGAGAGGCACGTAGAAACGACTCAGCTGTCCCCGGTGACGCGACTTTCGCCTCTCCCAATGCGGCAGTCCAGCCACTTCCGTTGAGCAGTGTACCCAGTGCTTTGAGCGCAGCCATTTCGATGTGGAGACCACCAAACATCACAATGAACTGACTTTCTCTATGGCTTGCTTTCCAGTTCCACTGGATTTGCTTTGCAATCGCGTACAGCGGTTGGTCAACAGTAATGATTGGTACCTGTCCAGGATTGAGAATTTCAGTCGCCCTCTTTATGACATCCATCGCGTGGCGAATCATTGCTATGGAATGAGCCTCATCATAAAATAAAGGCAAAAGTGATGTTTGGGTTACACTGGCATTGGAAATTTCCTTATGTTGTTGAAGGTTGGAATGAAAGGCAGACCACGACACTTTTTTTCTCCAATGCTATCTTCTTCTGAATTCTCTTCGTTTGTGGTCACTTTACATTGATTGTCATCGGTATCCGCCACTTGCCTCGCATTCTCAAGCCACCTGCGAAAAATGCAAAATTCAATCCAAAATATTTTTTAAAATTAAAAACATGTATGGGCTCGCAACTTAGCTGAATGAAACGATTAATGTTGACTAAATATGCAATATAAAAATGTACCAATGTATTATGCAAGAATAGTTCCAAACTATAAATTGTAGTATTAAGTGAACGCGTCTTGATCAAATAATATTTGGTGAAATGTTTGGTCAGAGGGCGTTTACGAAATATTATGTTTTATCCTGATCGTATACAGCAGCTACCCTCTATTTTTTCGGTAAGTGGTAGTGTAAATTGATTTATTTTAGCCATTTTTTACCTGTATTCCTTTTCGATGGCTTCTGCAATGAGCTCACATTGTCCTCTGTTTGGTCCTTCTAGCTTTCGTACTGATAATCCGGAAATATATGTTATTGGGCGGTATAAACTTAATTACCAAATTCCAAACACCATTGATCACCACCACGACAATATTTGCCAGAAACTATGGGACAGCTGCTGTAAGTTCATATAATTTGAGAGGAATAGCGCCCCCCGTTCCCCCAGTTCAATGTTGGGCCAACAAAATTCTAATGTCTGGATACACGGCGCCAACATTGAAACAGGTGGGGGGAGGGAGTGTGGAAAATATGTATCAGGAAATGGTATATTACAACCGAATGCATGTGAAAACTTAGTCTCCTATGCAGACCTACTTTAGCGGGTTTGGGCCCGCCACATACGGTCTGCTTACTTTGGCTACCAATTCGCCTTCCCATTGTATTCCATTAGCCAATAGTATTCAAATACACTAGACACGCCCACTTTGAATGTCAATCTTTGCTGTCAATCACGCCCACTTTGAATGATAATCGAATAATAGAGAGGTTAAGATACCCCGGTTCTGATTTACGGGTACAAGTATCGCTATTTTGTTTAGCAATTTTTGCTGATGTCAGCATTTTTACCCGTAATTTCTACCCGTTTCCCCGCGGTAGACCAAGGTCTACACGTAAAAGGCAAACGGGTACGGGTGTTTTCTGATTACTATATGTTGGCCGTTTAAATTGTAAAAATTTTCAACATCTTACCCAAATAAATAATGTGACATATGTTCGTTAAAATTTTCAACAATTTCTGGCGAACCTTAATTGCGAAAGTTACCATTCTCTGAGTCGGTTTATACACGCCGGAATATCTTGGATTTCTTAAGTTACAAGTCGTTCCCCGATTTACGGGTACGGGTATGTGTATATCACCCGTACCCGTAAACCGGAACCGGGGTATCTCAACCTCTCCAGTAATACGGTATATACGTATTTAAATGGCCTGCATAATTAAATGTGAACAGATCGAGTTTTCTGATCAATAGCAGTCGAAGTAGAAAATAATGAATATTTTTCCAACAAATGTACGCGATAGGTCAAAGGCTTAAATGTATATAAAACTATATATTCACTGGTAATACTGGTTTTGAACTTGACACGACTGCGTGACGGCATGCATATTCAATATAGACTATAAGTTTCCGAACGTTCAATATCAGAGCGACTTTTTTAATTACGATTTTATGTACTTTTTACAACATGAGCGGCCGTGTTGTTGGATATACAAACTCGAGCAGAAGGCGAGAGTTTTTATATCCGATAGTAGTGATAGACCCCATGTGGAGTTCAAAGGAATGCCGCCAATGACGTCACGTTGCTCCGAAAGTAATTAGCATGCAAAGTCTATGACGTCACTTTGCTGGCCCTAGCCCTAACCGTGGTCGAATTGTGAGAGGTAGCGCGACCAATTAACGGGGGAAGGCCTGGGCCAAATGTGTCAGTTGATCAATTAGCATTACAGTAATGAGAGCAAAACTATGGCGTCACTCGCGCAAGCCTGGGCCAAATGTGACAGGTAGCGCGACCAATTAACGCGGGCAAGCCTGGGCCAAATGTGGCAGGCGATCAATTAGCATCACAACTAGTTTCTGACAAATTTGTAATAAAACGACAAGAAGTTTCTCATAGTTTGCATGTATAAAAGTATGAAATAGAAGTTAGTTTTTAAAACCTACCGTTAGCTCAGTTGGTAGAGCAAAGGCCTGTAGTTATTACCAAATCAGTATTCCTTAGGTCACCGGTTCGAACCCGGTACGGTAGAAAAATTTTTGCCTTACAACCATGTAGCAACGTTGTGAGTCCCTCTCTTATTTTCAACACGCAATTGAAATTCGTTTTAATTTTGATGGCTCGTTTTGAGCAATAAGTTTCCAAACAAAAATAAATTGTTTTGTGAATTATTTGGTTGAACTGCTAAGACAATAGCCCGCCGACACATCGCAGACACATGTGAACCAGGCTTTAAGCCTGTTTCACACTGATCGTAATTCATCGACGATCTATTGTATTCTTTTCCGACAGAGAAAGCATTTTACACACGAATGATCACGGACAATGGAAATCCCCGATTCTTACGACCAGTGTGAACCAGGCATTATTTAGAACAACAGTAGGAAACTACGAAAGTCAATGAGTACGAGTGTTGATTAATATAATAAAGTCATCGTGTAATTTGTGCACTATTGCATGTAAGATCGAGCACTGCATTGTATACAATGGTTGTACTTCGACATGTGCATGGTTATACTCTAGCTCCTAGTTATAATTATAGTGGCTATCAAACGAAAAATATACGTGAGGTTATGAGCGATTTGCAACTCTCGTCTATTAAATTTTCCAGACCTGTATATACAATAAACAGTAAAACAATGATTACATCTTACATACCATACAATAGATCTTTTGGTGTTGTTTGTTTGTTTTCAGAACCTAAAACCACGATGTAGTGCGCCATTTGTTTAACAATTAACACAGTACTATTTTGGTTTTACTAGTAATTTTAAAATAATTTAGAATTCCTACCATTTATATACAATATACTTCATGTAATTTAAACATTACGGCATTACTCCGACAGTTTCCGAATGCGTGACGACACTGTTTCTGGATATGGCACTGGGATATCATATGATGTACATATCAAAAAAATTATAAATATGTTTGTAGCATGAAGAAAGCATGAGATTGAAACAGTTTAAATAAAATGCAAGCTAAATAAAGAAGTTTTGACATGATACAAAAAAAAAGACAATTTCATTTACAAGGGTGACAAGGTAAATTATGGGATTATAGCCTTT